AGTCACGCTGAACGGGCAACAATGTGAAAGTCATTCCATGAGCACCACGTTAGCCCTAAGTTTAGACTGTCAGGTAGCCCTTCTGCTTAATCCCAGTATGAGCTTCACTTACCGGAAATTTTCCACTCATAAACTGATCGAGTTTGTCTAAATATAAACGACTGAGTATTTGTAAGGTACTTCCTGCTGTGTCTTGAAGTTTTAGTAAGTAATACAGTTCAGCTTAAAATGGAAACGCTCTACCTTCAAGTCAGAGCTGAGAGCATAACGTAACTACTTGTATTGCGTCACTTCGAGCAGGAAACAACCGACGAGGAACAAACACGCCGCCTTTGAATGTATGCAAGACTGTAAACACTGAAGGTAGCTGGAATTTGTAATTAATTTAACACCGTATTTTGTTTTTTCTAACCTGGTAAGCGAAGAAACTCCTGACGTTTTCTACTCACTGAATTGTCTGCGGCTGGCATGTATACAGAAGTTAGCTCCAGGCATGGAGCCGCAGTACTGCTGAATGTATTATCCTAATTAGTTTGCAGGATATACGAGTGTTTTGCTTGCTGATGCACTTTTGATTCCTGTTGTTGTCTATACTTTAGATTTAACGTGTAACAATATAACTATACGTCCATTAGCTAAGTTGATCTATTTGTTTAACATAGTTCTGTGCTTCCAGTCACCTAAAGGCACTTTCCTTTGGCAGCAGGTTATTTGTAGGTGAGTGTGAATGGAAGATGCTTCTCCGGACGTTGTGGTCCAGACTGGGAGCCCAGCTGCATGCAGGGAGCAGATCAGGCTGCGTTTTAACTTCGGCCAGGCCTCACTGTGCTCCGTGGAGCTTTTCCAGGACCTGCCATTTAAACTCTATTCATCAGCAGCACGAGCAGAAAAGACATGTTTCTTTGCCTGCTTTGAGTGGATGTAAAAGTCTTAGCAGTGGGTTTTTGACTGACCCTGGGAGACTTTCAAACTGTGCAAGAGGACAAACAAGTTTGTATTCAACCAACCTCGTAAAGTCAGTGTTGAAACCAGGTTTGAAACCAGCCACAGTGCCTGGGAAGAGGGCACCCAAGGGACCACGGACGAAGCAGCCGTCCAGAGCCAACCAGCCTTCCCTCAGTGAAGACAAGGTGATTTACCCTTTAGTGTAGTGAAATGTTTTATTTAGCTGCGCCTGGTATTGTTTTATGTGTTGATTCAATTGTTTGTCTCCATAGGATATGATGCAGTGCATTGCTTTTGCAACAGCAGATCAGTATCATTTGCCAACACTTTCACACGACTTGATAAACCACGGCTTCCATGAGATAGATTTGCCCAGAGGTATGAGTGAAAAGGTCATACAGCTGTGCATTAGATTATTAGTGATGGCTTTCATGATCGTCGTGTTTTTATTTTCAGATGCCTCGAATGTTCTGGTGATAAGCACAGACATGGCTGCAAAACCAGATGATAATGCACAAATTTTCTTCTTCAGGTAATGCTGATGCGCTTTGGTTTAGACTTTGTCTCCAATGGTATTATTTTGTTGTAGAAAGGTCAGTTCTGTTCAAACATTGTCAAAAATATGGCTTAATTTGAGGATTATTGATAATTGGTTTGGTCAGTACTCGGTGATACAGGCGTACCTTGGTTTGCCTGTATGCCTATATCAGTGATCTATTTCTCAGCATCAGATGCACACACAAATCTAAACATGCAATTGCTGAGATTGTCGATTGGATTACACAAGGCTAATCAGTGGTGCCTTTTAAAATTGTTGATGCTCTTGCCACGTGAGGCCAGGCCCCACTGCATTGTGTCTAAACAGTCAGGGAGGGCTGTGAAGGTCTATGTAATCCTCCAAGGATATGCCTCCTCAGACAATCACAGACCTCCTGCTAAACCATTCATGCTGGATGTTGCATGCAGCATAACGTTCGCCACAGCATCTCCAGACTCTTACCTGCCACATATGCTCAGTGTGAATTTGCTCTCATCTGTAAAGAGAATGCAGCCCCACTGATGGACCTTTTGGTTTTGTTGATCACTAGTGAATGCTATTCGATCTGCATGTTGCTGGTATGTGAACACAGGTCCCACTGATGGATGTCAGCCCCTCATGCCGCCCTCATGGAGTCTGTTTCTGACAGTTTGATCTAAAACATGCACATGAGGTTTTGTAGGCCACCTCCCGTTCTTCCTCTCACAAAGGAGCAGATACTGGTCCTGCTGCTGTGGTATCTCCACCACACTCTTGAGATTGTGCTGAGAGGCACAAACTTTGTTGCCATGGCACGTGTGGATTTGCCATCCTGGAGGAGTTGGACTATTTGTGCAACCTGGCTGAGATGGTGATAGTGTCTCATGTTACTAGTGGTAGCAAGGACAAGGAGATAGAAACGGTCTGTGGCAACCATTCCCTTTTTGGGGGGTTGTCTTGTTGTTGTCTTCCCCTGCACCTGTTGTCCCTTTGATTTTCACCAGAGCAGGTGAAACTGAGTCTTAATAGTTTATGCTTTCTAACTTACAGGTTGCTATCCCTGAAGTTTAGCCGACTTTTTTGTTATACGCTGACAATCAAGCATTCCTTGAACATTTTTCAGCAGTGTAGTTACTAATACTTCTTTAGTACAGCTGCTTTTTTCTTTGGCCCCATAATGCCTGATCTCAGTCTAAAGTTTCTAAGTTTAAAAGTTGTTTTGTTCAGCTAGAGTTCTTGTTTGACTGCTTGCCTCATGATTACCTTGAACCGATAGTTTGTTTTGTAACATGAGAGGAAGGGCTAAACACTGACTTGTTCCACTTTCTAAATTTTTAGAGAAGGCTCAGTAGTTTTCTGGAATGTCGAGGAGAAAACGGTAAGCAAACATCACCATTAATGCAGTTAATCTAATTTCCAGTTCACTTTTCTACTATACTATTGTTAAACTCTGTAATTTCCCCTCGGTCTTTACAGATGAAAAACATTTTGAGAATCCTGGAACACCATGAGATCCAGCCTTATGAAGTAGCGTTAGTCCACTGGGAAAACGAGGAGATTAACTACACTGTGGGAGAGTACGATGAGCCTCATGCTTTGTTTTGTTAGTACTTTCAGACTCTGTAACGTTTCTAAACAGACACTTTTTTCCACCTCAGGGGAAATACAAAGCTTGAGCGTGGCAACTTTATTCTGAGTGACGATATGGATCAAGAGGAAGCTGTTTTGAAGAAATTTGCATTTTCAAATGCACTTTGTTTGTCTGGTGAGAAGCTGTATTTCCAGTCTGAATCATAAAAAATGTATTTGTTTCCTGTGAACACTGCTAACCTTTTCTCTTTGCTTTCTTTTCCAGTGAAGTTGGCAATATGGGAGGTAGCATTAGACAACTTTGTAGAGTCCATTCAATCAATTCCAGAGGTACAGTGGACAATTAACAGCAAGAATGAATAATTGATTATTTATAATGGTTGTTTGTGTGTTAGGAGATGCACGTGGCATTAGCATTTTTCTAAAATGCTAATGCCAGCATGCTAATTTTTTTTTCCTTTCCCACCCAGACACTCAAGTCTGGGAAAAGAGTCAAGTTGTCCTCTGCAGAGGTTATGCAGAAGATAGGAGAGCTTTTCACATTAAGGTAAATTCAGGAAAGTACAGCCTTTCTATTTTTGTATTCACTATTTATGAGCAAGTAATACACCTTGAGTTTTGTGTAATTATACATGTTATTTCTAAATGCAAAAACTGCTGTTTGTTTGCTTTTCTAGTATTACCGTACTTTAGTATTTTTATTTACACTCTGCTTTGACAGACACTGTATAAACCTGAGATCTGACCTTCTCCTCACGCCTGATTTCTACTGGGACAGAGAAAACCTAGAAAAACTCTACGATAAGACGTGCCAGTTCCTCAGCATCAACCGCAGAGTCAATGTAAAGGATAAACTATCGCTGCTGGGTCTTTGTGTTAACACTCAATCATTTTTTTTGCCCATGTAGCTTCATAATCTATCTCATTTTAGGTTGTGAATGAGAAGCTGGAACATTGCACGCAGCTGACAGACTTGATGAGGAGCCACCTGAGTGAGAAGCACAGCTTGAGGTTGGAGTGGATGATAGTCATCCTGATTACGATTGAGGTAAAAGAGGTCAAGCAAGAAGCCTCAAAGAATGCAGGATTTTTAAAACAAACCTTTATTCATGCTTTAAAAAAAACAGGGAGATGTTTAATAATGAGTGCATCTCATTTGTTTCTCTTGTAGGTTATGTTTGAACTCGCAAAAATGATCTTCTAAATTGCTGCTCTGAAGCTACAACAACTCTAAAAAGGACACAAGCAGCTATGAAAGAAGAATGCTGCACTGTGCGAAGGCACTGAGTCGTGAAGGGGACCTAGATCACGCTGAATGTATTTACTCTTCATGTGTTACATCAGCAACTTTCTGAAAACCATGAATTATTTTAAAATCAAGAATTTCACAAATTGTTACTGAGGATCTTGGCTGCGGGCGGGAGCAGTATTTTACACACATTTGTTCTTTATTACTGTGAAAAAAAACAAACAAAGAAAAATCAAAGTAGGCAAAAAAAGATTTTTAATCTTTTGTGATGATCTGACCTTTATGTTTTGGGACTTTTTTTTTGTCTTTATGTTCTTAATTTTCTTTTTACATCATGAGAAAGCATCTATGTTTTCTTGTCAGTGTCAAAGATGCATTTTTAAAAGGTCTTATTTGCATGGGAAGGCAGGGACTCCCACACCTTGACACTGATCTTGCAGCTGATTTAAAAAAGAAAGGGGGGGGGGGGGGGAGATGTAGAAATGCATCCAGATTTACTGAGTCCCAAACACCAACTGTAACTCTGTTATAAAAGATGGGAATAAAGTATTTATGTTCAATATTTCTGTGTTTGGATGTTAAACATCATTAACAGATTTCTTTTCTTTTGCAGTAAACAAATAATTACTGAAGTACTTTTAATTTATATGTATTAATTTATTCAAATAAAATAGTTTTTATTAATTAAACACTGGTAAATATATCAGAAAACATATAAATACACATAAATCAATATTAGTGACATCAGACAAGCAAGGATTGTCCATAACAGACAGTAATGGAAATGAGATTTCAAAGTAAAAGCATACAGCTAACATAAATACCTTTTCACAAGCTTATTTCTCTCACTGTGTTGCAGTTTGATTACTGAGCCTCAGGCATCAAGCTTAGTGAGGAGGCTTGTTTCTGGCACTTAGATTTTTTTTCCTGTCTCTAAGTCTAAATTTAGGGTTAGTATCTCAAATTCTCAGCTTAACTTGAAATTTTGAGACAATCAAAATTTCCACTTTTTATTTTTTTCAGTGGTAGAAACAGCCTGTTAAAGAACAGGAGAACAGAAAAGTTTGAGTAAACATGGTTGCTTAAGGCACTGCTGATTAAAATTTGATTAACTGCGTATTTGATTAAGTTGAGCTTTAAATTAAACACTGTCACACCTTGCTTCATGCCATGCTCTCACCATGCTCTTATTTTCGAACTGCTCACAGTAAAAATTCTAATCACTAAAATATTCATTATGTACAAGATCACATATGATAATAATAATATATGTATATATATATATATATCTCCTCAGTATGTTCAGGTCTGACTTTTTAAATCATGTGGCATAAGTGAAATACTAATTGCAAATAAATGTGTTGTGGAAATATCTACATTTTGCTAATTTTTATAAAAAGGTGTTTCTATGTGCTGTAACTGGTAACATACATCATGATTTAATGTGGTCTGTGAATAACACCTGAACGTTTTTTAAGCTTTTTACCATAAAAGGTGAAAAGATTCAACAAATATATTATGATATTCTTATTGACTTACTGGCATATATAGTCTATTCAAAAACTTAGGCATAATAATGTGTGAATTATGAGTGGAGAGACCTGACATAATTAGCAATGAAGTTGCATTACATGACAAACAGGTAGTTAAATTTACTGAGGCCCCTGCGTGGTAAAAGTAGCTCATTGTCACACTTCTAAAATCATTCAAAAATCACAATTCAAGCCCCCTGAGAAGATTAACCTTTTTTTCAATGCACACTTTCCAAAACACTCTCTTAAGTCATATACTGTATAATAATAAGATAATCTTAGCAATTAAGGCTAGTTTCGCTAATAAATATCAGAATATTTTGGTGCAACATAATGTGAAATAAAAGGCTTTGATGGCTTTATGAAGCTTTCTTCCTTTTACTTTTTGATTGTTCCACCTACAAAAAGAAATACAAAAAAGGGCATACGTTTAATTGAAATTGATTGTGAAAATATACAGAATAAGAGGTGGCTTACCACTCAGTAACACTTGAGCTGGGTTAGGTTAATCCCATTCTGCCTGAGTGACACATGTTGTGATTACTGGGTACTCCAGGGCAACAGCAAAATCTTCACCTTCACTCTCAATTTCACCTATTCCTCCTGTTTCATGCAATCTCTGATGATATTCCTCATCCTCACTCTTGGTATCAGGTGCCATTTCAAACTCAGATTCAGGAGCTTCTTTTCCCTCATGTGCACTTCTGGCTTGAGGCTCCGTGGGTTCTTCCACTTTGATGTGGGATGCCCCCTTTTCCTCTTGGGTGTAAATGTCTTCCTCAGCATCCAGCCACACGTCATCATTTTCCTCCTCTATTTGTTTAATGGGCTCCTCTGCTGTTTTTTCTTTGCTACGAGCCTTGAAGACTGCAGGATGACTGATCAACAGGCCTCGTTTCTCTTTTTGCATCACAGGTTCTGTCGTTTGTGTGGCCTGAATGTCTGGTATTATCGATTGCTTTGACTGAATTTGTTCCACTGGTTCTATTGTTTCTATTGTGTGGATGCTAACAGCCTGTAGTACTGGCTGTTTTGATATCATGGCTCTTTCAGTTAAATCTAATTTTTCTGCTGGCTCTGTGATTTGCTTCAGCGGTTTGGTGGTTTCTGCTGCCTGGATTTTGGAGATTATTGGTTCCTCTGATTCAGCTTGTTCTGCTGGTTGTGTTGTTTCCATTTTTTGGATAGCAACGTCCTGAAGTTTAGGCTGATGGGAGACCACAGCTTCTGATTCAGTGATTTCTGTTGTCTGAACAGCGACTTCCATTAGCTCCATTTGTTTCTCGCTCTCAGCTCTTTGCATTGCATTTATCAGGTTTGTAGGTTCCACTGCTTCTACTGCCTGAACAGCAACTTCGGACACATTAAGCTGTTTCACAGGTTCTGCAGAAGGTGGTGGGGATGCTGGTGCCTTTAGCTGCCCAAACTGTATGTTAAGTTTGAATTCTAAGGACAGGCTTGAAGGAGACTCTACATTACCTATTGACGAGATCATACCCGTGTTCTGGGGGGCTACTAATCCTGTGTTATTTGGTGTAACAATCTGGCTTTGTGTACTTTGTAGTTTTTGAGCTTCTGTGGTGGTATCGCCATCTTTCTTCTTAGCTAATTCTTCAGATGTTGCATCCTCCGCTGTCACACATACCTCTGATTTTTGCAGCTCAGCTTGAGTTTCTTCCAGATCCTCTGTGTGATCATGGGTAGAGATATCTAAACCTAAATCAGAAATTCGCAATTGATCCTCAGACTCTTTCTGCTCAGCTGGGATCCCATGTCCTTCATCCTCTTCTTCTATGAGCTCCCCAGAACTGTCCATCATTTTTTCATCCTCTGGTTCACTTGGTGCACTTTGAACTGTCTCGCTAATATCTGGTTGTTTTATAACTTCTTGTTCCAACTTATCTGGCACAGATTCAGGAGTGGGCTCTGGTAAATTCCCCTTTACATATTGAATAACTTCTTGAACAGTTCGATTGTTTTCCTCGTTATTCACTTCCTCTTCGATTGCAGTAGAGGCAGATAGATTTTCTACTTTTTCAAGAGTTTCATGACAAACATCAATAACTTCTTTGGCTTCTGTAACCCCTACCTCAATCATTGTGTTGACGATATTCTCTGCTGAATTGATATCAACATCCACCACTTGCACTTGGAATCTGTGATTGTCGTCAAACTCTAGTGATGGAACATGCATCATAACAACCACACTGCCTTCTTCTGCTGTGTTAATGACATTGTTCTTCTCTAATGGTGTTGTGCTCTCAAAAGTGTCCTTTACCTCCATCACACTTGCTTTTCTTTCTATCAAGTGTTCTCGAATCTCAGTTGTTTCCTCAATCAAAACATCAGGTATTACTGCTGAAACATCTTTTAGATTACATGTTATTACTTGCATCACTACAGCGTGCTCAGTGGCAGCAGTGATTACCTCAGTGCCTTGAGGTTCACCAGCTTTTTCTCCATCAACACTTACTTGGGCTGTACTAACATCCTCGTCATATTTGGGTTCTTCTGAAGCTTCAGCACTGTCAACACAAGTCTCATAATGGACCTGATCATTACTTGCTTGTTCTTCTTCTTGTTCTGCAGAAGGCACCAAAGCAGCTGGTACCATTTCTTCCAAAGCTTCACCTTTTCTATCTTCGTGTTCAGCTTGATCATTTTGTGGAATGCTTTCGTTTTTCTGATCTTTGTTTATTTCTAAATCCTGGCCTGGTTGTTTTTTCTCAGTTTCATCTGTAATGCGGTCAGTGTCTGGTTTCGGAACATCTTCTAGCAATGCTTCAGTTTCAAGCTCCTGAGTGCTAAACACCTCAACACTTGATGCAACTGCATTTGCAGACTTGGATGCTTCACGGTCAGTTGCAGGAACATTGTTTTCTGCATCAGGCAGTGATGCTTCTGGTTCCATTAGGTCAACTGCTTTCTGCTTGGGTTCACCTGTAACTGTTTCCATTGCCCCCATATCCTTGGATATCACCTCATCTTCAGTTCCTTGAGGTTGACCTTCCTCTGAATCTAATGTGACGACTTGTACCACTTGTAACACTGCTGGTTCTTGAACATCCTTGGTTATGGAATCATCCAGTGCTTCACCTTTATCTTCAGTGATTGGTAACATTTTAGCCTCTTGGGGCTGATCTTTTTCTGCATGTGGAACATCCTCTGATATTACTTCTTTCTCCCATGACTGACCACTCCCCTCTTCTAAATCTAATATGGCTGCTTGTACAGCTTCTACCTTTTCTGGAACTTCAGGCTGTGATTCTTTGTTTTGAATCTCATCGGCCACTTCAGTGTGATGTTGTGTTGTCTGTTTGTTTTCATCTGTTACTGGTTCAGAAGACTGAATGTCTTCTGAAGGTTGTATTTCTGTTTGAACACTATCTTCTTTTGAATGCAGTGATGTGGCTTGAAGACGTTTTGGTACCTCTGGAACTTTGGAAACTTCAGGCTGTGGTTCTTTTTTTTTAATCTCATCAGTCACTTCAATGAGATTCTCTGCTAACTCTTTACATTCACCCGTTATTAGTTCAGCAGACTGAATGTCCTCTGAAGGTTGTATTTCTGTTCGAACACTGTCCTCTTTTGATTCCAATGTTGTGGCTTGAATGCCTTCTGACACTTCTGTAACTTCGGAAACCTCAGACTGTGGCTCTTTAGTTTCTGGCTCATTAGAAACTTCACCTTCAGTGAGATGCTCTGATGTCTGTTTGTTTTCATCTGTTACTGGTTCAGCAGGCTGAATGTCCTGTGAGGGTTGTATTTCTTCTTGAATGTTGTCCTCTTTTGATTCAAATGTTATGGCTTCAACATCTTCTGGCACCTCTGTAACTTCAGAAACTTCAGACTGTCGCTCTTTAGTTTCTGGCTCATCGGTCACTTCAATGAGATGTTCCCCTGTATGTTTGGATTCATCTGTCACTGATTCAGCAGACTGAATGTCCTGTGAGCGCTGTATTTCTTCTTGAATACTATCCTCTTCTGATTGTAATGCTGTGGCTTGAATACCTTCTGGCACTTCTGTAACTTCAAAAATTTCAGACTGTGTCTCTTTAGTTTCTGGCTCAATGGAAACTTCATCTTCAGTGAGATGCTCTCCTATCGGTTTGGATTCAAATATACTTTCTGCTGGTGGAACATCTTCTGAGGCCGGTGCTTCTTCTTCAGGTGATTGAACTTTGTCCTCTTCTGCAGTTGCTGTGGCTTTTTGCTCAACTTCCACTACATCTTTCACTTCATCATCCTCTGTTTTTGGAGCTCCAGTCTGTGTTTGTCTATCTTCTGGCTCAACAGTCACTTCAGCAAGATGCTCTGTCTGCTTGGAATCGTCTGTAACTATTTCTGTTGCTGGTATGTCATCTAAGTGTGGTGCTTCGTCTTCAAGTGACTGAACAGTATCCTCTTCTGGAGCTTTTACATCTTTTTCTACATTTTCCAGTGCTTCCAACTCATCCACCACCACAGAAGCTTCAGCTTCAATTTGACTTTGCTCAGTAATATTTTGATTGATCTGATCCCCCATGTAGCACAAACTTTGGGCTTCCTGCTCGATGCTTCCATCTTTAGTTTCATCAGCCACAAAAAGAGCTGACTCTGCTTCTTGAGTCTCAGTTTTTGAGGCATCTTCTTCTACTTGATCTGCCACAACTAGAGAACCTTTATCTGGAGCAACTTCATCACTTTCAGGTAATGTCTCCTGAGGTAACTCTTCCTTTTCTTCAGAAATGCATTCTGGCACATGTTGGCTGTCATCAGTAACTTCTAATTCTTTCATGCTTTCTTGCACCTGTGTAACACTGACCTCATGAACTTCATCTTCAGTGACTTCTGCATTGTCAATCTCCTCAGATACAATCTCAGATACAATCTCTGTTGAAACAGCTTTGTTAACATCAGGTATGCTCTCTGTTTGGGCTGTTGCCTCAACTTCATTAATTGCATCAATTGGTTCAGCATTTAGCTCTGCGTTTACCACTGTTTCATCTGATCCTTTGTGTATTTCCAGGATTTTTGGCTGTTCTTTTTCAAATGTTTCAAGTAATTGAGGCGAGACAGAACTAACTATTCTTTCTGAACTTGGCTCCTCTAAAGTCACTGGGACTACATGTGTGCTTACAGAGATGGTTTCAGCAACTTGTTCTAGCAACAACTCTGTGTTGTTGACACTGTATTCAGCTGGGACAGGTGTTGCGTTACCAGATGTTTTTGAAGAGTCTGATAACTGGGAAACTGCAGAGATCATCTCAGTTTCATCTGTCACAGTAACATCAACAGGCTCTGGAGCTGTTATGGCCTCAGATGTGATCTCTACCAGGTCCTCTGCTATAGTGTCATCTCTTGCTGCTTCCTCAATGCCTGAAGCCGGAGTGGCCATGGTCTCTGTAAGTACTCCCTCCTCTGGAATATCACTGAGTTGTTGGTGTTTACTGATTGATTCTGTAAGGTCATCTGGTTCTTCAACTGGAGCAGGTGTAGCCAGTGTTTTAGGAACCTCATTTTCTAAAGCTTCCTCATTGTCTTGGGACGTTTGTGTTTCGAGTGGAAGACTATCACAAGGTGGAGTGGAGTCCTGCTGGACTTCATTGTCTGTTACTTCTGGTATGTAACTTTCTACACCTGCCTTGGTTTCTCCCATTTCATCTGCAAACTCTGACAGTGGAATCACAGCTGGAGTCTCAGAGTCTTCATCATCTGAAGCTTCCTTGTCAGCTTCATCTAAAGATACTTGTTCTAGCGTTTCAGCAGGCTTTCTCTTTTTTCTTCCAGGTAGGAGATTCTTAATAGAAAACGTGGACTCAGCTTGAGTAACATCATTGTCAGAAGGAATGATATCTTTGCTTTCATCCAGATCCTTGGCTTTTGTTTTGGGGGTGACAAGTTTTTTAAATGATTTCCATGTTGACTCCCCATCACTCTCTGGAGGACTTCCTTCTTTAATTTCTTGGGCCTCATTAGATCTTTCTAGTGGTGATTCTGCACCTTGTTTAAGTCCACTGTCTTGCTTGCTATTTGGGGGTGTTTCTTCTTCTGAGTCTGATGATTTTCGGCTTTTTCTCCTTCCAGATCCACACAAAACAGCTTCCCATGACACAGATGAGTCTTTCCTTTTTTTCCCTTCTTCTGTGCTGTGATCTGATATTCCCCCCCCTTCACTTGGTTTAGCCTCATCTACTGAACCTGAGATTTGTGCCTGTTCATTGCTCAATGAAGGCGTCTTGTTACGTTTTTTTGGAGTCAGAAGTTTTTTGAAGGCTGCCCATGCACTGTCCTCTTCTTCTGCTGCCGGGGCAGAGGGCTGTGCAGGACTTTCGTCTTTCTGATTTTCAGCTGACTCTGTTGAAGACAGCAGCTGATCAGAGACTTGTTCTTGAGAGTCAGTGATCTTTGTGTCACTTGATTTCTTTGTTTTCTGTTTTTTGGAAAGACTCCTGAAACTAGAGCCTGACATTAGCTTCTTCAGTGGACTCGCTGGAACTTTTTCTTTTTCTTGAGAGTTTAGTATTTCACCCTCACCATCTGATCTCTTCATGGAAGGTGGTTTAACATCATCCTGAGTGGTTACTGCAGGCACGATCTTAGCTTCTCCAAGTCCTTTCTCAGTTGTAGCTGCCTCAGTATCAAGAGTAATCTCCTCCTTATCCTGTTCTTCCACTGCTTGCTCTGCTATTTCAGCAATCTCGTTTTCCCCCATATCCACCAGTTCTTTCTCGGTCACCTCATCTTCTGCAAGTTTCTTTTTCTTCCGTAGACTAGAAAAGATTCCTGTGGTAAAAAACCTTTTTAATGGAGATTCAACCACCTTTTCTTCAGTAATCATTGGTGATGCTGGATGCAGTTCCTGTGTGGTATCCTGGTGTCCATCTTCATTTACAGCAGGTGAAGTTGTTCTTGCATCATCATTATCACGCTCAGCTTCCTCTTTGGTTTCTGTTTTCTTTATGTCTGCATTTTCTGCAATATTCTCTGATGTTCCATCTGTCAGACTGGGACATGTTGTTGAATCATATTCATTTGCTTCCTGTGCTGTGTTTACATCCACATTCTGTTCCTCATTTTCACTTTTGACCTCTTGTGGATTATCTTTGACCTCCTCTGGTATGTTTGGTAGTTCCTCGGGCACATCTGTTTCAGCCTCTTCACCAGAGCCATTTTTAACTGTCAATTTCAAACCAATGTTGCTGAAAAAATTTCTAAAACTTTCATTGATGTCATTTTGCTTCTCTTCCATTTCAATAATTTCTACTTTTTCAACTTCATTTGCATCAGCTTCATCTGGTGATGTCTTTGCATTGATGTCAACACTTTCCACTGGAGTTTTTTCTTCTTTAGGGGACTTTTCTGTCTTTGCAACATCTTTGTCTGAGGAAAGGATAGTTAAATCAACAATTAAATTAATCATTAAAATACTTTTGAAAAATCGGCCTAGTGTGCTAACAGATTCTTTCACTTAGAACCCAACAACTTGCGCTTCTATTGAAACCATGCTGGCAGAAATACACAAATTATGAATACCCACCCTCTGCAGAAATCTCGTCTTTGCAGTGACCATTGAGTGCTGCTATAGAGCTGTCTGCTTTTCCATTTATCTCAGAGATCTGCCCATTGGTTTTGAGAGGCTGAAAAAAAGCACAAAACTGAATGTACAATAAATCTCTGCTCATGTGTGCGTGGCACGAAAAAAATTTAACAAGTCTAGTTTGAACCTCTGAAGAATTTCCATCTGCAATTAACAGGGATGCCAAAGACCTATAGAAACAGTATAGACCAGTTACTATTGGCTAGGTTTTGTGGCAGCCTTAGAGTCAACGCTCCTGATTTTTCCAATCCTAAATCCATGAGTCAGATTAGTTGGGAATGTCTGAGCAGGGTTTAGGGAATAAGAAACTTAACTGCACCCAATAGTGTGCCGAAGAAACCTAAATAAACAACTGCAAATACATCAGACGGTAATATTATTTCCAAGTTAAGCTTTTTTTTCAACTTTTTAAACCAATTTATTAGATGTACAGAGTTTTGCTTATCTTTTTACTCATGTTGCCTTATTTTAAGTGCTTTATCTAATTTAAACTGAATTTAAACTGACTATCCGAGCTCTCCAAGAGCCCGAAAATAATAACAACTGAAGGCAAAACAACCTAGTTTTAGATAGTTAAAGGCCATAATCATCATCAACTCCCATTATCACAATTTAAATACAACTTATTGGGATTAGTGTTTTTTCTTTCTTTTTAACACCTCACTTCCAAGCTTAAGCACATGATTTCTTCCAGCAGTGTCATGTCTCCACCTTAATAACAATCAGCATGCTCGAATATAGCATCAAATCAACACAACATCGCCAAGAAAAAGCATCAATTTCTCTACTGATTCTTACAGGACAGTGCTAATTGACATCCTCATCGGCATGAGCTGTTATAATGTTGTACACTAATAATCAATGTTGTTTTCTGCTTAGTCCAGCAGTGGAGAAATTCCATCTCTCCCATGGGCTTTATTTGGTTCACTCCAAGAATGAAAGGTCATCATTCCTCCATGCTGTTTCCTCTTTCATCTACAGTAAATGAAAACCTCTGCGCCATCAATGAAATAGTGAAAAACGACTATTCAGAAGAATAATACTATGTAAGTTATCAGGTAGCCTCAAGAGCCAAAAGCCAGCAGTCAAGGGCCATTAAATTTACTCACAATTTCAACATGAGGCACTGCACACAATCCATTTAACAACAACAACAACAACAACTTTTACAGTAAATGGTTTAAGTTTTGTGTTGTAAGACTCAGGCTATGATTTACAATTATTATTCTTTTTCACATTTTGCAAATCTTGCTGTATAAGGAAAATGGGGCCAAAAAGAGTTTCAGTCAATGTGGGACATATATACATATGAAATGCATCACATATAAGACTTTTTCCCCTTTTATTTTCTTTGTCTTTATGTCTAAGGAGAAATGACACTAGGCTGTTGTGCACCCAGCACAATATATAAATCAATCAATAATGCTTCCTGTTACAGAAAAGCTTAAAAATAATCACATTGCTCGTCAGTGTCCCAGCATTGCTGGATGCACTCATCCGCTTTGAAGGGACAAGGACTTTCCTTTTATTCTGACGTTAATTGATGTGTTGGCATGCAGCGTGTGCACCGTCCCGACAACAACAACAAAATCCAGCCTCAGCATTTTTTTAATCTTTCAAAGCGCCTACTGTTTGTTCTCTGTCACCATAATGAATCAAATGAAAACCACTGATTGGAAAAGAGGACAGGCTAAATCCTTATTGCAAAGTTAATACAGCCATAAAGGAAGAATTTGGGGCTCTTGGGATATGTTACCTTGTCTTCAGTATCCTGCACAGTTTGAACATCATTCACTTTTGCGCTCTCCTCCTCCTCCTCTGCATCCTTCTTGCCCGCACGTTGCGCAGACTGAGTGTCTCCCATTATCTGAACTGCAGCGCGTCGCTATCCGGAATGAGCCACACGAGTGAAACCGATATCCCACAAGAAAAACAGGCCGGTAGCTCAGCTGAGCCACGGAAGCCGGTCAGCTCTCAAATGGTGTAGTCTGGATGCTGGAAAAACTCTTTCCTCTTAGATTAACACCTCCCTGCAGAATCACATGAAGCCATATGAGCCAGCTGACCCGGCCCGGCTCGGCCCGCCTCTCTCTGCATTGAAAAAAAAAAGAACTGCAGAGAAAACAGCCTGCTCTCAGATTACTGAAGAGAATGTCCCAGCAACAAGCATAAACCTGCACTGGTGAGGATGCACTAGCCCGCAGATGCACTGAACAACGAGTGGCTATGTTAAAGATTTAAAGGATATTTTCATCGGAAACAGATGCTGCAAATGCATGCCGCATTAAATAAGAAAGTCTGTTGCTGTTTAACACTTTGGTTATTCGGAAAGTGGATTTTATAACTAGTTTTATTATTAAAAAAAAACCCCAATAACAAAAAAAACAAAAACACAAAACCTAAGAATTTTGAAACCAGGAATGTTCTTTAAAAAAAACCCAACTATTTAAATCTTTATAGAAATGGTTAACAGTTAAAAATAGTTAAAATGAACTACTGGCTGGCTATTATATATATATATATAATAGTTATAGTATTCCTCCAATTACTTAATTGCCTAAATTAGTAAAATTACCTGTACAATGAAAAGAATACATGTTGAAGTTTGCAATCATTTTATGTATCGAAAACTGTAGGGCACATTCAGTCTGACAAATAAGCAGACAGGTTTCATTATAACAAATGTCATATAGGCCCATGAGAGTCAAAAGTGAAGTTGCGGCTGGACATTGTGGGTCAGTGTCTGGGGAAAATGTCACAACCTGCCTGTTGCTAAAGTTGCCATTACATCAGCGGCCCTGCAAATACTTCTAGGGAGATACTTTTTGGACAGCATGTTCCTACATCCTTATAATTAGAACAATCCTCTTTATGTATAACATTTTTAAAATTAATTTATAATAAGTGGGAAGTGTTCTGGGGGAAACAAATGTATGTCTTAATAACTTATTTAATAACATTAAAATGGGCAGCTGTACTACTAAAACATCTTTTAGAGAATGGGAAGAAGTGGACATTTAAATAGAAAATTGCCAGCCTTATATAAACACAGTATATATAAAATGCTGCATGCTAATGCTAAAAAAACCCCGCAAACATATTAACATGATTGTTAGCATGACCACATATTAAAACTTCAACCCATTATTACTGTTATTAAGTCAGAATCTTAAAAACAGTAAAATTAAGTAGAGTTCCCCACTTTGAAGACTGCATGGAGAAATCGTTCAACAATTATACGACATTTCTCCAAAAAAACAAACAAAAAAAAAAGCCATAGCAAAGCAAATCTACTTTAAAAGTGCTTTTATTTTGAGGTTAATTACTGTTCACTCCACAAACCACTTTATTAGGAACACATGTTAATTGCTTGTAAAATGAAATATTTATCAGCCAAACAATGTAGGCCTGATCAAGATGACCTGCTGAAGCATCAAAATGGGGGAAGAAAGGTATTTAAAGCAAATCTGAATGTGGCATGTTTCTTGGTACTAATTGGCTAGTCTGAATATTTCAGAAACTGCTGATCTGCTCAGATTTTCCTGTATAACTATCTTGAGGGTTTAAAGAGAATGGTCTAAAAGTAGAAAATATCCAGTGAATGTCAGTTCTCTGAGTGAAAATGCCTTGTTGATGCTATAGGTCAGAGAAGAACTGATAGGGAGACAAATAACCACTCATTACAACTATAGTATGCATAAGAGCACCTCTGAATGCACAACATGTCATTCTGAGGGTTTCTTTTTTGGTATTTAGTGTTGATCAGCTGATCTGTTACCAGTCCAACACAAACAATATTTCATAACAGCATAGAGCGTATGGAAATGATCAAATATTTTAAAGCTGGCAAAAAAGTTTTCTTGAAAATGAAAATCAGCTGACTGGTCAAATGTACCTCTTGAGCAAAACAGACTTAATTCGATTTGGTGTTTAAACTGAGGCGTGTGGGCAGAATATCATGAGCAGGGCAGACAAACACACAACAGTCTGCCTAAAATACAAGATTCGTTTTTAGAAAAGGCTGCTTCAAAAGCTTGACCCCTTGCAGTCTGACTTCTGACTGTGAAAAAATAAAAGATAAACTAATAATGTGTTTATCTGTTAAGCTGCATTTCTTTCATTAAAGCGTTTTGCTGAAACTTCTTTTATGAGCACTAGCACTGCAGTGTTTGGACTTACATGATAATGCCAGTTTAGGCAAGATAATGTGGTAGATGATTTTTTTTGTTTGTTTAGTTTAGTTTTTGTTTTGTTTTTGGCGGGCGGGGGGGGGGGGGTGTCTTTGTTCCATAGCTTTTTTTTTCTTCAGTATTACACATATGCTTTATGATGGTCATGGCAATTTTTTACTTAGATGCCAAAGTAATGAGTAAGGCCAAACTCAGAATTTTAGGCAACCATAAATAAAACACACCCTAATCACTGCTCACTTTCTTAGGAACACCTGTAAGTATCTAAGCAGCCAATCACATAGCCAACACCAACTCCGTGTATTTAGGCATGTAGACATGGTCACGATGACCTGCTGTAGTTCAAACTGGGCATCAGAAAAAGGACAAATGTGATTTAAATGACTGTGCTTGATGGTGCCAGACAGACTGGTCTGAGTATTTCAGAAACTGAAATAATCTTCTGCTTTCCCACAAAAGCAGAATGGGTCCAAAAAAGAGAAACTATCCAACGAGCAGCAGTTCTCTTGGAGAAAATGTCATGTTGATAGCAGATGTCAGAGAAGACTGAACAGACTGCTAGAAAGGCAACCGTAACTCAAATAACCAGTCGTAACACCCAAGGTATCCAGAAGAGCATCTCTGAATCACAACAA